CCTATCGCCGCACTTCGCGGCCCCTTCACGGCCCTTCGTGGCCCCTTCGCCGCCCTTAGCGGCCCCGTCTCGGCTCCTCCGCGGCTCCTCACGGCCCCTTCACGGTCCTGCTGCCCCGCCGTCGCCGCCCCAGCAGTACCAGCCGCCGCCACCACTGCCGGGGCCGCGGCTGCCGCCGCTACCGATAGCAGGAGCCGCCGCCGCCACAACCGTCACAGCCACCGCCGCAGCCGCCGCCGCAGCTGCCGCCGACAGCAGCAGCCGCTGTCGTCGCCGACAGCAGCAGCCGCCGCCGCCGCCGACAGCAGGAGCTGCCGCCGCCATCCCAACCCTGCCCTGCAGAGAGGAGCGGCACTCCTCTGCCGCCCTGTCGCGGCCCCGTCCCTGCCGGCGCGCCTCGGCCCTGCCCCACCACTTGCGGGCCTCTACCCACCTGCCCTGGTAAGAGCATTTCCGAGCCGCGCCGCTTCTGGTGCTACTGCTTCTAGCCTGCTGCTGCTGCTGTCATGGTTACCCCTAGCGTTCTCACCTTTGATGCTGAGGGTCGGGCTGTCGACTTTGAGGTCTGGGTTGATGATCTGCAGCTTTTCCTGCAGTGCGATAGGAAAGATGGTCTCTCACTGTTCGCACAGGGGACAATCCCACTGCATTTCTTGATTTGGTCGCGCAGATTGCGGCATCTGTTGACATACGGTCCCGCTTTCTCCCCTTGCTTCATTTTAACCGAAGTTAGCTGGCTGAGCAGACGACTCATCGTAACTGGATCTGTTGCCATGTATGAGTTGCGCAGGTTTTCCCAGGACGCGTGCGCGGGAGCCCATTCCGTCTTATAAGGACGAACGCCAAGCTGTTCTTCAGGTGAGAGGTTGCAAAGCAGAGCGGTGTATGCGAGGAGAGATTCGTGGTAGTATTGATGCTTCTCCTGGATGGTGCCTTCCGAAGGAAAAGGTAGGCTTCTGTCGTAGTACATCCAGATCTGAGCGGTTGTCGCGAGAAGCTCGAATTCGAAACTCCACGTGTAGAAATCCTTTCCGTCAAAAGAAATTGAGGTCTTCAATTTTGAAGTCAATACAAATTTGGTTTGCATTGAAGCTGAGAAGATAACTACTACAACGGGAGCTTAGAGTACTGGCTAGGCACGTGTGCTCGTGTGATGTCTGCGTTCGTTGGTCCTTAGACGTTTTCCTAGTGCTCACACTGGTTGCTAGTTCACGGGACAATTTGGCAAGAGTTTCACTAGAGAAAGTTGTCAATAATGGTGCAATAAAGTTGGCAATGCAAGACTACATCAGAGCTAGCATTCAGGTTGGTCGACTGCCAGCACAACATGGTCGACCGCGTTCCAGCACGACTTGGTCGACCACGCTACAGCAGTGCAAAGTCGACAGCTTGCCAACGCTGCAGGTTGACGGTGTGCCAGCATTGCTCACGCAGGACAGCAGTGCACCCGCTTTGCAGGTGCGCGCAGATGATTGGCATGCAAAGTCTCGTCACCTGCACAGCGCACACACCACGTCAACCTCGGGCTAGCGACTGCCTCTGATCCGCCACGACGACCTCGGGATACCACCATGGAGGTCGGTCTCGCCAACTTCGCCTGGGTGACCGTCGCACTCCTTCGCAGAAACTCATCACCCAGGTATCCTGGTCGACCGGGCAACTATGTCGACCAGCTGCTCCTGTATGTGCTCGTCGACCTCCCAAGTCGACAACCACACCAGGTCGACCTCACCAGGTCGACCACTCCTCCGGTCGACCAGATCCAGGTCGACGTCACTCCTGGTCGACCAGTGCAGTTGTCAGCTACCCAAGTCGGCGTCACCAGGTTGACGCCCCTTCTACGTCGGCGCCGACTTCCAGACTGACCTCTTGAAGTTGGCGACCTCCCAAGTCGGCGACCTTGCAAGTCGGCGCCGACTTGCAAAGTCGGTGACCTTGCAAGTCGGTGACCTTGTAAGTCGGTGACCTTGCAAGTCGGTGACCTTGCAAGTCGACGTGCCACATCGCCGACCACCAGTTGAAGTCGGCCGCTGGCTTCCCAAGTCGGCGGTATTGCAGTGGCGCCGTGCAAGTCGACCAACCCCGTCGACCAGCTCGTCCAAGTCGGCGTCGCCCACTGCTGCAAGTCGGCTGTACCTTCCGTACACCCCACCACGAAGTCGGCTCCGCCCAAGCGTGGACGGGGCCAACACACAACTCCCGTTGACACTCCCCTGCCGCGTTCACGCTTGGCCCCCCCAAGTCCACTCGGCAGTACTCCTCGGAGAATAGCTCGTCGACGTGCACCCAACACACAGCACGTCGTCCACCGCACCAGCCATGCAAGAGGGCATGGCACCTACTGCTGCACGTTGTCATCTTCGTCGCCCACGTCGGCCAAGCGCACCTGGCCGATGGCGACGGAGCACCGGTTGAAGGCCGGATAGTGCAGCGCCTTCGTCAGGAAGTCGGCCGGCTGCTCAGTGGTCGGGATGTACCTCAGCGAGAACTTCCCGCGCTTCACCATGTGCTGCAGCCAGGCCTGTCGCCGCTCCATGTGCTTGAGGTTGCCCGTCAACCCCATGCCCTCGACGACTGTGATGGCCGACTTGTTGTCCACCCGAAGGACGGTCGGCTTCCCGGCATCCAGCTGCCGGAACTCTGCAAGGAGGAAGCGAAGTCGGCGTCCTTCCTTGCCGGCCTCGGTGGCTGCCACGTACTCCGACTCAGTCGATGACAACGTCGCACACTTGATGCGCTGGCTCGACCAGGAGACTGCGGCCCCTCCATAGACGAACACGTAGCCACCCGTGCTCGTCCTATTCTGCTTGTCACCGGCGTCGTCGGCGTCCACGTAGCCGACCAGCTCCAGCGACTCAGGTCCACCGCCGAACTCCAGTGCGGTGTCGCGCGTATTGGCGAGGTAGGCGAGGCAGCGGTCGACCTCGCGCCAGTGCTGGTCGCTCCTCACCGTGAGGCCGCTCCCCAGCTTGCTGCAGGCGAAGGCGATGTCCGGCCTCGTCGTCGTTGCCGCGAACTGCAGCGAGCCGACCTTCTGCCGGTACTCCTCTTCCTGCCGCTCCTGTGCCTCCTCGTCATCGAACGTGAGCTCGGCGTAGGCATCGACCGAGACCGGCGTCTTCGGGGTGCGCCCGGTCTGCTCCTCGTCGATGAAGCGCCTACGAAGCTTGTCGGCATAGCCCTGCTGGTGCAGCCACAGCTTCCCCGCCGACCTGTCGCGGACGATCTCCAGCCCGAGGTACTTCTCCACCGGCGAGATCTCACGCAGCTCGAAGGCGGCTTCCAGAAGTTCCTTCAGCTCCTTCAACATCGCGGCGCTACTGCTGGCGGCAAGTAGGTCGTCGACGTAGACCAGCACCCAGCAGGCCACTCCGTCCTTTCCGTCCTTGAAGTAGAGAGCCTCGTCGACCTGGCTCTTCTTCCACCCGGCGCCGACCAGCACGTCATTGAGCGCCAAGTACCATAGCAGCGGCGACTGCTTTAGCCCGTACAGGCTCTTCAGCAGCTTGCACACCCGGCCGGTCCCGTCGTTGAAGTAGTCCGGCTGGGACATGTAGAGCACCCTGTCGAGCTTGCTCTGCAAGAAGGCGTTCTTCATGTCGAGCTGCATCAGGTTGAGGTTGCGGACGGCGACGATGCTGAGGAAGATCCTCAGCGTGACGTAGCTGCCCACCGGCGCGAACGTCTCGTCGTAGTCGGCGCCGTACACCTGCGTGAAGCCCTTCACAACCAGCCTCGCCTTCTCGCGCTCGACGGTGTCGTCGACGTGGTACTTCGTCGTCAACACCCACCGGTTCTTCATGACGTTCACTCTATCTCTCATACCATGCCGAGACAACCAAAGGATCCAGTAGATAGGATAGGGTCTGTTAAGTCTGAGAGGAGACAAAGAAGTCTCTGTAGTGACCTTGTTGAATAATAATTGAAAGAGAACAAGATGATTGAAAGATAGGGGTACAAGAGATTAAATAGAAATCTAGCTAGCCATGTACTCTGAGGGGTACATTCTCTTATTAACTGTATTGCATAGCTACAGTAACCGCGACTATTGCTATCCTCAACAGTTACCATGTTGTAGTGAATTAGCTGTCGCGCGGTTACTGGATCGTCAAAGGTCGCGAAAGGTGACTTCCTCAGACGGTTGACCTTCGGGTGACCCTCGACATTCCGCATGCTCTATATGAGCTATTGCGGTACTGGTACAGTGGAGCAGCTTCGGGAATGCTTTATATAACCTTTCGGTTGTTTCAACATGGGTGGGTGGGAAATAAGACATTTGAAATTTCGAACGAAGACGTGGGTGGAGGCCAAATGGCCTCCACCCCCTGCTATATAGTTGGCGAAGAGCGTCTAGAACTTCGCCGTTGCCATTGCTGCATTACAAGCAGCTTCGATTTCGAAATATACATTTTTAGAATGTGTTACACACTTCAAAAAAAAACTTCATATTTAGAATGCTTGCTTTCTTGTGTTTGCAATGGCAACGAGCTTCGTTTCAAATGGGTCTTCTGAGACATGAGAAAGGGTTTAGTTGGATGCTGACACTAATGTTGCCTTGGATGGAGTGTCGCCCCAAGTGAGTGTAGCACACTAATGTCGACTTATGAATTGGCTGACACGGAGCTTCGGACACGAACTCGCAAGCGGTATAGGAGGACTCGGGCAGCGGGCGTTGGTATTCTGTGTGATGATGGATGTGATGCTTGTGGAGCCCAACCCTTGTAACGGTCACAACCGTGCTCGCATTATGAAGAGTGCATGCATCTTGAATCCAAATACGGTAAATATCCTGGCGTTTTTTTGTGGAGTGAAGCCCTTTCTATGTGTGTGCGTTTTTTTTTTTTTTTTTTTTTTTTTTTTTTTTTTTTTTTTTTTTTTTTTTTTACTGATCTGCTTGAGTTGCCCACCATTTCAAACTCAAGTGTGACCGCATCTGAACCTTGCACTTTAAGGCTTTCAAAGTCTAAGGTATTTGAGAAGTAGAACTAAATTGCACAACCATGAATCTACCCTACAAATGGCCCATAGGCCAGAAAGGGACCCACCGGTCCTCCCCCCTGGGAAGCTCGCTGGCCAGCACCGCACAGGACCCACCGGTCCTCCTCCCCCCATGGGGAGCTCGCTGGCCAGCATCGCAGAGGACCCACCGGTCCTCCTCCCCCCTGGGGAGCTCGCTGGCCAGCACCGCACAGGACCCACCGGTCCTCCTCCCCCCTGGGGAGCTCGCTGGCCAGCACCGCACAGGACCCACCGGTCCTCCTCCCCCCTGGGAAGCTCGCTGGCCAGCACCGCACAGGACCCACCGGTCCTCCTCCCCCCTGGGGTGCTCGCTGGCCAGCACCGTACAGGACCCACCGGTCCTCCTCCCCCCTGGGGAGCTCGCTGGCCAGCACCGCACAGGACCCACCGGTCCTCCTCCCCCCTGGGGAGCTCGCAGGCCAGCACCGCACAGGACCCACCGGTCCTCCTACTCCCTGGGGAGCTCGCAGGCCAGCACCGCACAGGACCCACCGGTCCTCCTCTCCCCTGGGGAGCTTGCTGGCCAGCACCGCACAGGACCCACCGGTCCTCCTCCCCCCTGGGGAGCTCGCAGGCCAGCACCGCACAGGACCCACCGGTCCTCCTCCCCCCTGGGAAGCTCGCTGGCCAGCACCGCACAGGACCCACCGGTCCTCCTACTCCCTGGGGAGCTCGTAGGCCAGCACCGCACAGGACCCACCGGTCCTCCTCCCCCCTGGGGAGCTCGCTGGCCAGCACTGCACAGGACCCACCGGTCGTCCTCCCCCCTGGGGAGCTCTCAGGCCAGCACCGCACAGGACCCACCGGTCCTCCTCCCCCCTGAAGAGCTCGCTGGCCAGCACCGCACAGGACCCACCGGTCCTCCTCCCCCCTGGGGAGCTCGCAGGCCAGCACCGCACAGGACCCACCGGTCCTCCTCCCCTCTGGGAAGCTCGCTGGCCAGCACCGCACAGGACCCACCGGTCCTCCTACTCCCTGGGGAGCTCGCAGGCCAGCACCGCACAGGACCCACCGGTCCTCCTCCCCCCTGGGGAGCTCGCTGGCCAGCACTGCACAGGACCCACCGGTCGTCCTCCCCCCTGGGGAGCTCGCTGGCCAGCACCGCACAGGACCCACCGGTCCTCCTCCCCCCTGGGGAGCTCGCTGGCCAGCACCGCACAGGACCCACCGGTCCTCCTCCCCCCTGGGGAGATCGCAGGCCAGCACCGCACAGGACCCACCGGTCCTCCTCCCCCCTGGGGAGCTCGCTGGCCAGCACCGCACAGGACCCACCGGTCCTCCTCCCCCCTGGGGAGCTCGCTAACCAGCACCGCACGGGAGCGCATGGGGTTGTGCCAAATGTTAGCCGCAGACTTTCTTCGCCGATGGTCTTTCATGGCGATCCAAAGCTATGGTAGTTGCCTCGCACCGAGTTACTGCGACCAAAGAATAATAAATAACACGAGATAAAACGAAGGGAAACAAAAATCGAAGATACGTACAAAGATCGCCACGCGCGCCTATAGCGGTTTCGTCGCCGCGCGCCTATTGCGATTTCGTCGCCACGCGCGCTTGTGGCGATTTCGTCGCCACATGCGCTAGTGGCGCTGTCGCTTTATTAGCCCCAACAAGTGCGCCTATTGTGAGGATGGGTGCGCCCACAAGTCATATCTGAAACACCTGTTGTGCTATGTCGATCGAGTAGTGCCTACTATTTTATGAGACAAGTGAGAAACTGAGAAAAAACGGGAAGCGCCAAGTCGTCGGACGAGAATGAAATAAGACATTTGAAATTTCAAACGAAGACGTGGGTGGAGGCCAAATGGCCTCCACCCCCTGCTATAGAGTTTGCGAAGAGCGTCTAGCACTTCGCCGTTGCCATCGCTGCATTACAAGCAACTTCGCATTCGAAATATACATTTTTAGAAAGTGTTACACACTTTCAAAAAACTTCATGTTTTAAAAGCTTGACCCGCGCGGCCCGCAATTTGGGCCGCGGGCTTTAAGTAGCATGCAAGAGCGATTGTTAGAAAGTACTTTGTGGGATGAAAAAGTGGAAGGCAAGAAAGCTAGAGTGCCACGTGGCACTTGGAAATCTTGGAAATCTTGGATGAGTTGGATGAAGATAAGGTTGGGATGAGGTTGGGGTACTGTTCAGGGTAAACCACCCTTGAACAGTAAAATACTCCGTAACACTACCCCCCTCCCAAGGAGGTGTCAACCTATATATATGATTTGTAGTTGGGTGTAGGCTGTAGTGGGGTAGCCAATGTGGGGTACAACCTCTGGTCCTGCAGGTGCTCGTACTAGAGGTACTGGAGCTGTCGGGACTGGTGCTGCTCCTGGAGCTGGAGGTGTTGGCTCTGGGGGTGCTATTGCTGGAGGTACTGGGGCTGGAGGCCCTAGAGCTGGTGCTATCGACCCTCGCGTTGGAGACCTTGGAGCTGAAGGTGCCGGTTCTGGGGGTGCTGCTGCTGGAGGCACTAGAGCTAGAGGCCCTGGAGCTTGTATTGTCGACCCTGGAGCTGGGGACCCTGGGGCTGGAGGTGCCGGTTCTAAGGGTGATGCTCCTGGTGGCGCTAGAGTTGGAGGTGTTGCTACTGGAGGCGCTGGAGCTGGAGGTGCTGCTGCTGGAGGCGCTGGAGCTGGAGGTGCTGCTGTTGGAGGCGATGGAGCTGGAGGTTTTGGAGCGGCTGGAGGCGCTGGAGCTGGAGACTCTGGAGCTGCTGGAGGTGCTGGAGCTGGATGTTCTGGAGCTGCTGTGGGCACTGGAGTTGGAGGTTTTGGAGCTGCCGGAGGCGCTGAAGCTCCTGGTGCTGGTGGCATTGCACCGCCGCGACTGCGTTTTGCTCTGCCATCACCGTCCTCTCTGCCATCGCCTGACTCTGTGCTTTGCCAGGTTCTTAACCTCTCATTACAGCCCGGCGCACCACTGCATGCTCCTTCTCCTTACACTGAGCTGACAGACTCGCTTACAGAGCGTCGTGAGCTCGCGTCTCGTCCTGCCTCGCCTGTTCCCGCGCAACGCACTGGAAGTCGTGTTCCTCGTGAGCGTCCGCACACTTCGATGGCGCCGTTCTACATCCTTGTTTACGTCGACGACTTGGTCTTTGCCACTGCTGACACTAAGGCTCTCGCCCTTGTGAAGTCAGAGTTGCAGAAGAGACACACGTGCAGAGACCCTAAACCCTAAACCTTGGTCTTCAGATTCTCGGGACAGAGCACGGCGCACCATCACACTGACTTAGTCACACATGGTGCAGCAGGTCCTTCAACGCTTTGGCTTCACTTGGTCCTCGCCACAGTCCACTCCCCTAGCTACAGGTCACTTGCTCTCAGCTCCACCTTCGGACGAGTCTGTAGAGCCGATTGGTCCGTACCCAGAGCTAGGGGGCTGCCTCATGTACCTGTTGACCTGCACTCGTCCTGACCTTGCGTACCCTCTTGGCCTTCTGGCACGCTACGTGGCTCCTGGTAGGCACCGAAAGGTGCACTTCGATGCTGCGAAAAGGGCACTCCGCTATTTGTGCAGTACATCGAGCATGGGGCTCGTGCTTGGAGGGCGGAGCTCATTTGTCCTCACTGGGCACTCAGACGCTTCTTGGGTTAACGACCTAGCTACGCAGCGGTCCTCACAGGGTTACACGTTCAGCCTTGGCTCTGGTTCTGTTTCTTGGCGGTCTACCCGCTCGTCTTCTGTACTCAGCTCCAGTTGTGAGGCTGAGATCTACGCCACAGCCATGGCTGCACAGGAGCTATGCTGGCTCACCTACCTGCTGACCGACTTGGGAGAGCGGCCTCGTTCTCCTCCAGTTCTGTACATCGACAACAAGGCTGCCATTGCCTTGTGTTAGGAGCACAGACTGGAGCACAGAACGAAGCACATCGCTTTGCGTTACTTCCTTGCTCGAGAGTTGCAGTAACGTGGTCAGCTTCGTGTCGCTCACGTGCCCGCCTGGGCCAACACGGCTGATGTGTTCACCAAGGCCCTTCCGGCTAGTGATCATCAGCGCTTTTGTACTACTCTAGGCATGTTGCCTACGTTTCCTGACTTACTGGTTGTACGGTGATCTATATATATACCTGCATGTTTACTCTTGCTAGGTAGTGATCACTGTACTGTTGTTGTTGCATATATATCTCTGCATGTGAACTGGCCTTGTGGCCCTCTTGCTTGTGCTCGGAGTGTGTGGTGACATTGTGATCCACCCTGAGCTTGGAGTGCTTTTCTTGACTGGTCTTTTGACCCCTTGTTCTCCCCCACTTTGCCTTTAGGGGTGTGTCAAACTATTTATATGCTTTGTAATTGGGTGTAGGCTGTAGTGGGGTAGTCAATGTAGGGTACAACCCCTTAAGGTTTATACTTGTACCAAACTTTCTCGATAGTCAGTCATTCCTGCTCGTTGATTCTGACAGGAGGCGACATCCACGGCGCCGACAGACTGAAGGTACGCTTGAAGGCAAGCGTTGTCGGGAGACAGCGAGGATGAAGGAACCCAGCTGTTGTCAGCTGCATCGTAACCACGCCAACAAACCAAGTTGTTGATGAAAGAGACACCCCCTTGGAGACGTGGACGATGCCTGAAGATGCACTGGATCTGGTAGTCGGGCTTGTCAGTGTCAACAGCTACCGGAAATGGAGTGCGTTCATGGCCCGAGAAGGTGGGTGTTGGGATTGGTATAAGGATGAAGAAGCGACACGTGGAAGGACGGGTGCATGCGGAAATGAGCAGGCAGGCGAAGGCGGAATGCGACTGGACCAAGTGCACGCTCAAGGACGAATGGACCAATGAAACGTGGACGAAGCTTGCTATCCTGTGGTAGTCGGAGGTTGCGGCACGACCATGAGAAATTGCCGCGAATTCACGAAGCTGTTGCATTTCAGCCCGTACCTTACGATTTTCCAGCGTCAACGTTTCGAGTTGTAGCATGAGTTGAGCAAGCATGTTGCCCATGTCGTTGGGGACACCGTTCATGGTTTCATCCATGTCGGCTCGACGACTCCAAGTCTGCAAGTCAGCAGCGTGGGACGATGACGTCGTAGTTTCGTCGTCGACAGTCGATTGTTGGAAGTCGCTCCCCGCGAAGGCCCCTTGGCCTAAATCCGCTAAAGATTAGCGGGGTGGACTAAGTTGAGGATGAAAGCACGGTGGAAGACTTTGGCGAAAAATGCAAAGATGTTACTGAGTAATTGAAGAGTTGAATGAGAATTGGTTCATAATGCGAAGTACAAGCAAGGTTTAAGCAGCATACAAGATAGATTGTTGGAAAGTACTTCGTGGGACTAGAAAGTAGAAGGCAAGAAAGCTAGAGTGCCACGTGGCACTAGGAAATCTTGGAAATCTTGGATGAGTTGGATTAAGTTAAGGTTGGGATGAGGTTGGGGTACTATTTACGGTAAACCACCCTTGAACAGTAAAATGCCCCGTAACAGCTCCACTGTTGAGGTCGAATTTTCGCCTAAGTTCGAACTTCTATGTTGGAATAATCGAAAAGGTTATGGAAACATTTCCCGAAGGCTCTCCACTCTCGCCTCCCTCCATTACGAAGTAATGCGACTGTATCAGTATCGCAATAGCTCATATAGAGCATGCGTAAGTTCGAGGGTCACTCGAAGGTCAACAGTCGAAGACAGTCAACGGTCGAGACCCTTCACTGCCCAGTAACCGTACGTGGCAGTTACGAGATGCAAGGCACCGTTTCCGACAAAAGGCACCATCCAAGAGAAGAACCAATATTACCACGAGTCTCTTCTGCTTTGCGGTTGCCCCCCACTTCTGCTTTGCGGCTGCCCCCCACTTCCTGTGGCCGTTTGCAGTGCAGTACGCCGCGCATCAGCTCAACCTCTGGCCCCGTGTCTCCGTTCCGGAGACTTCGCCTACCCTGCATAGGACGGGGGAGGTTGGCGACGCGTCGGTGTTCCGAGTCTGGGGATGTCGAGCCTTTGTCCGCGATACGTCCGCGGACAAACTCTCCTCGCGTGTCGTTCCCTGTGTCTTCCTGGGCTTTGTCCCTGACGCGCCTGGTTGGCGGTTTTACCACCCCACCTCGCGCTGTGTCTTCGCCTCTCAGGACGTCACCTTCGATGACTCGGTACCCTTTTACCGTCTCTTCCCCTACCGCACTGCCCCGCTCCCCCCCCCCCGCCGCTCTTCCTCACCCCAGGTGTCCCGTTGGTAGACCCCCTCCCTCCCCAGGGTGCTACTCCCTCAGGTGTTTCCCAGGTAGACCCGGTCGAGCCTATCGAGGTAGCTGTTGACTCTGGTCCTGCGCGAGGTACTGCGTGTGCTGAGCCTGGGGGTGCGGAGACTTTGGGTGCTGAGC